AATCCGGCTGTGCCATTAACAGCGGCTTGTCATGCAATAATTCGCAGGAGCGGGCACCCAATTTTAAAGTCCAAAAGCAGTGAGCCCACCACTAACTAATGCCTCCACCACCCTCTTTAATTTTTCATTTACACAATTTCAAATCCTAAAACCATCAAAGTGTGTAAAAAATGAGGCCATTGCCATCCCATACATAACCTAGAAAGGAGAGAGAGAGAGTGAAAGAAATAGTAGCAGATCTCAGCCAAATTATTCAGCCATGGCAACCAGTACTCCAGTTAACATCCCCTCCAAAATGAAGGCCTGGGTCTATGGCCAATATGGGAAACCCGAAGATGTCCTTAAATTGGAATCCGAGGTTGATGTTCCTGACGTAAATGATAACCAGGTCTTGATCAAAGTAGTTGCTGCGTCCCTGAATCCAGTCGACTTCAAACGCATGTATGGTGAATTCAAGGCCACTGATTCTCCTCCGCCGGTAAACACCCTGTTTTTTTTCTCTGGAAAAAATTGTTGTTTGTTTTAGTTACTAGATAGATAGTCCTTGTGTAGATTTACTGTGTTTTTTTTTTTTTTTTTGGTTTTTTGATCGGGTAGACTGTAGCGGGATATGATGTGGCGGGCGTGGTGGTTAGAGTTGGAAGCAAAGTGAAGGAATTCAAGGTCGGGGATGAAGTATACGGAGACGTTCACGAGCATGCTTTGAACCCAAAGGGATGTGGGACACTGGCGGAGTACACTGCAGCGGAGGAGAAGGTATTAGCTTTGAAGCCCAAGAATCTGAGTTTTGCCGAGGCAGCTAGTCTTCCTCTTGCCGTTGAAACAGCATACGAGGGCCTTGAAAGCGCTAGGCTTTCAGCTTGTGAATCAGTTCTTGTCCTGGGTGGTGCTGGTGGAGTTGGAACTTTCACCATTCAGGTATTTTATGCGTTCACTTTTTCCTCTTAATTTTCAATACTTTAAAACACCTGGAAAAAATCAGACCTAGTTGGTCAGCTCCAAGGAATTAGTGTTAATTTTTGAGAACCAATAAACAACAAGTGGTAGCATTTCCGTACTAAGTCATCCTTGGCAGAGACAATGAACCTTTCTAGCAAAAAAATTAGTGTATGTATGTATCAATCAAATTTTCAGATTTGGCAGAACCTTCATAGCAATTTTAGGTTTGGCTTTTGAGTTGCTAGATAAATTAAAAGTAGTTCTGAAGACTGACCTTTTATAGGGGTGTTAATTAGGCTTTAGAATCGAATTTTGGCAAGCTCATTCTTGACTCACAAATTATACAAGTTTTTGTGTTTCGAATTCAAATTAAAAAAATCAAACTCAACTCGCATTTTATGAGTTTTAGACTCAAATTGGGTTCGACTCAAACTCATAATTAAATACATAATTATATATAATATATATTATATAATTATGAATTACTATAAATTTATATATAAATTATTAACATTTTATATCTTAATCGAGTTTGAACTTAGGTTCCGTTTGATAAAACTGAATCTGAATTCTGAAGTCTGAATTCTGAAATCTGAATACTGAAACAATTAATTTGCTGAATTTTAAACACTGAAAAAAATTTATGAATGTCTGAATTTTAATGCTAAAGCTATTTATACTGTTTAATAAATATTTATAGCTGAATGTTTAATAAGTTTAATTTGACAATTGTGCCCTTATATCCTTTCATTCAAAAAAGAAATAGAATCTATGATTTAATTAGTTTAAAATTGTAAGGTATGAAAATGACAATATTTATTTTTAAATAAAATTATTATAAAAGATGAAATATATTATATGAGGAGTATGGAGAAGATGTGAAAGTCATTAAAAGGGAGAAAATAGAAACTAAAAATCATTAGATAGAGAATATTAGGTTGTTTAATTAGATAAGAATTTTGAACATAATTAACAAACAAGGGTAGATTTGGTAGATAAGATAAGGTAGTTGAAATAATTCTATTGATTCTTATCAGAATTAGGCATTCAGTTAGGATTCTTGTGCTGAAAAAAATACACACAGGTTCAGCACTGCTTAACAAGTTCAGCAAATAGATTTTCATTTATTAAACACTCAAAACATCTGAATGTCTGAAAAGATTCAGATTCAGCACTTTTTTATGTTATCAAACAGACCCTTGATATGACCCAAGTTCAACTCATATTTTATTCGGACATAATATTTATATCCAATCTCAGCTGGTTTAATTAAGACTTAGGCTCAATGGCCTTTTTTTGGGTCCCATTGACAGCCTAACTTTTGCTTAGAACCGAAGATAAATCATAGTACTACCTAAATTCATGCATGACTGAAACGATTTCTTGATCTGCGGCAGCTGTCAAAGCATGTGTTTGGTGCATCCAAAGTAGCAGCAACTTGTAGCGCTGGGAAACTGGAGTTACTTAAAACCTTAGGGGCTGATTTGGCTATCGACTACAAAAGCAACAAGTATGAAGATTTGCCAGAGAAATTTGACGTGGTATATGATACCGTTGGTAAGAATGAATCCCTTGCTCTCTGTTCTGGACAGTAGGTAAAAGTTCTGGTGCTAACTAGCAATTCATTTTGCAAATGTGCGAAAATGAGCAGGTGAGGCTGATAGGGGTATCAAGGCTTTAAAAGAAGGCGGAAGAGTGGTGACAATCGTGGGGGGCCAGTCGGTGGTTCCCCCTGCTTTCGTGTTTGTGGTCACTTCAACTGGTTCTGTCTTAACCACACTCAAACCTCTCATAGAGGAGAAGAAGCTGAAGCCCGTGATGGACCCTAAAAGCCCTTTCCCATTCTCTCACACCATTGAAGCATTTTCCCATCTTCAATGTGGCAGAGCTACCGGCAAGGTGGTCATATATCCGATTCCATGATCAAGAATCATTGCCCTCTCCAATACCTGAACGCAATCATGGCCTTTTACTAATAAGAATTCTAGATTGCCATTCTTTCTTTTCTTTTAATATGGTACTTGTAGCATGGATAGATATGTAAGTAGAAGGGAGAGTTGGATTGGGTGGTAAAGGGGAAAGGAATATAAACAGAAACCAAGACCATTTATATATATAAAAAAAAGACATGTATTGGAATAAATGAAAAGATATTGCGGTTTTACTTGTTTCACTAATAATAATAATAAAATGTAATTGCTAGTAGTTCTATTAAAAACAAAGTGTCTCAAATTACACCAACAACTCATATTACAAATCAAAGTGCTCTAGAGTCTAGACCACATATACATTCACTCTTTCTTTTTTTTTTTTGAATTAATCTTTCCTACACTGACAGTGTATACACTATCAGCATTGGATAAATGACAAGTATACAAAATTTGAATTTGAAATTCAACTTTTGCACACATGTCATGAATTCAACGATAATAATGTATATACCGTCAGTGTAGGAAAGATTTACTCTTTTTTTTTGGTTGGGTGTGCGGATATTCTAAAGCACCAATCCCACTTTTACAGCTAAGAAGCCAATGCATAGGTACATATTGCTCCTACAATGACATTAATATTGATTGAAACCACAGTAATTTGGGATGAATTATTGACTTTAGGGTGAAAAACATTCAAAATTAAATTTTGAGGTGCAATTTCATAGTTATTAATAACTTTAAAGCAAAAAATATTCGAAAATAAAAGTTTGAGATACAAATATCATTCAAAAGGGCGCAAAATGAAATTTTAGTTGCTTAACAAACAATCTTGTTTCTTAGACCCGAGATGTGGGATAAACCAACCCTCAAAGTCTTCTTTTTTCTTTTTTTTGGACATAGAAATGAGTGATTTCAGCTTGAAAGATTTGTCAATCGAGATGCTCAAAAGTTTTCTTTTATTGTCTGAAGTGCAACTTCAGCAGTAGTTATGATAATATGTCCATCATTAGTTGAGACTATCTCATTCACCTGATTCCCTCGGCTAATGATGGGCATATTATCATAGCCACTAGATAATATGTCCATCATTAGTTGATTCCCTCTGCTTTAGTGATGATTATCTTGCCACAAAATAGTTGCATAATTACCTAGTGGTTTTGTGGCTGGCAGCTTTTAACTTGAGAAAAGCATGATTAAAGTACCATTATCGTTGTCTGGAATCCATTTTGATGCCAATTCCATCCTGAAAGTACCCAACGCTGAACTGAAGTGTGGAAATCTGTCATCTTATTTGCTTTGCTAGTTTCAAGTTGGTTCGAAGGAGACTATGTCTTACAAGGAGGGAAGGGGAAAAAATGGAGTTTACCAAGAATTTTCACAGTTAATTGGTTAATGTTCCTACCAATTGAATCGAGTCTTGAGGACTCTTAGTATTTTATAGTTTTGCTTTTTCATGTATCAAGGTTTGAGGACTTTGTTAAGATGTAATTAGTTTCATTCAAGTCAAAGATTCAGTTAAACTAAAATATCTAATAAAGTCATTTTACAAGTTTCTTAATAATTAAAGAAAAAATTGTTATTTCGTAAAATTGTTATTTGTAATTATAGGATGTAAAAATTATTAAGCAACAATGCTTGAATTCTCAAAGAAACTATCAATTGAAAATTAGAGTTTTTTTTTTTTTTTGTATTGTCCCCTTTCTGTTCTTTTTCTCGCTTTGACTATGGTAACTAGGCCAACATGCAAGAAAGTCTTACCTAATTAATGAAAAGGAAAAATCTTGGTTAAATTTATTTATCCTCAGTTGGTTTAGCACTTTTTTCACGTAAATCTTCTATAATTTAAAACTATAAACAAATCTCTCGTATTTTTGACTAAAGTATCAAAGTAACAAAAATGATCCTCAACAATGGAGCCAAACGAAATGTCAGGAGTGCTTTGATGTAAAGACAACAATTATTTGTTAACGGTTGAGGTTATGTATAGATTTTCAAACATATGAGGGTTATATTAGAAAGAACTGATCTGTAATGTGCAAAAGTGTAATTTAACCTATATTTATATATGTTAGCCACTAAAGTCATTTTAAGTTTTTAATGGGAATAATCTTATCATTTTAGGTAATTCTATCATGAAGGGCAATCTTCATCATTTTGACACTGTACTTCAAAGCATGGGAGTTAATGTACATTTTGTCACATGACAATTATACAAAAATGCACTAAACTACAGAGGTTAAAGTATAATTTATCCAAAAATCTTTAAATGGAAAAGCAAGTCTAGTTGCTGGTTCTTTGTTAACGGACAATGCCACACTGGTCCGTCACAACTAGAAATCAGTATAAAAAACTTCAGGGCCTTATGTATAGCTTTAAAATTATACCAGGTTTATTATGAAAACTTCTTCTCTACAGCACTTGATTGATACAGATCAAAATTACTATAGGGTAAAAAACAAAAAAACCTCTCGTGATAAATCTAATATACAGAAAAATCCCCCATAGTTTTAAAATGTACAATACGATACCTCATACTTTAAACTAAATTGTAAAGGTGACGGAATCCGTTAAACTTAACGGAAATGGACGAAATGACCAAAATGCCCTGATATAATTAAGCAAAAGACAGTTCAAAAAAATCATTTGTTTTATTCTCTAGATAGAGAGAATTGAGGGTTAAAGGGTAGAATAGGTATATTTGTTAAAAATTAGGTATAAAAATTTTTTTTCAGGTTCTAATAAGTCATTTCCGTTAAGTTTAACGGATTCCGTCACCTTTACAATTTAGTTCAAAACATGAGGTGTCATGTTGTACGTTTTGAAACCACGAGGGACTTTTCTGTATATTAAATTTATCAGAGGGGATTTTTTTATTTTTTACCCTATTACTATAGCATCTCACTGTTCTCAACCGATCACGAGAACAGTATTGATGCAACAAATGAAACTTGCGAATTCCTTCTATCATTCTATCCAACACATTCTGTGGAATCCAGTGGTTGGTTACTTGAAAAAATCTCCATTCCTCCCGTGCTTGCTTTATTTGAGCAAGTACGCTTTTGCTGTTATCTTCACTTCTTATTTCACTGAGATCTATGATCGGAAGCTGTACCTCGAGATGACAATTGTTTAACCCATTAATGAGCTCTTCAGCTGGCTGAATAAAGATTTTGGGAAGCCTAGCAATACCTGCATCGACAAGACCTTTCACATCAGCTTTTGTATCGTCGAAAGCCTTCAGATCTTTGAAACGATCGCCATCTGCAGAAGCCATTTGAGTTGCAATTTCTTTGACACACGATTTCTCCATATCCTTTACAGGTCTGGTCTAAATGAAGCTTAACTCATACAAACTTACTTGAAGCCTCCATGCAAGCTTCGGTTTTTCATACACATGCACCTGGGCTGACATTATGTTATCTTAGCATTCTTGTATTAACTGTTAATTGAAATTTTGTTTTTGTATATAGGACATGCATTCAATCCCATTAGTATAAAAAGTTTAATCTCTCCGCGTAAGAGTAATCAATCCGCAAATTAGATATCTGCAATTGTACTATTCTACAGTAGATCAATAATGGGTCGAATATTAATGCCTTTTTGAAATAGTCTTTGAGGATCAACTTGGAACATCTTTCTTGGTTTGGAGAATCAATTTGAATTTTTATTTTTTATCAGTTTGAGGAACCAATTAATATTTTCTACAACTTTAGAAGACCAAATTGAGACTTTTTCAATTTGAGGAACCAAATTAAGATGTTTTGCTATTTTCAAGAATCACATCCAAATATTTTGAATTTCAAGGGCTAAATTGAGATTTTGAGTCATTGTGGAGGAAAAATAAAGTTAGCCATTTGATATGAGTGGTCTTTGACAACCGACATACTGACACTAACCTTTCATGGCTTAGATGTTGAAAAAGGTTTTTGTGGTTGCCATAAAAACAATTGAAGTAGCCGGAAAGAAACACTAGGCTATTCTCAAAACAAGAACATCCTAGATACAAACTTGACTATTCCTTTTTACTATTCTAAAAATTTTAGAATTTTGAAGGGCCAACACAAGAATCCATTCAGTCACTCTTGCAAAACTCTCAGTCCTGACTCAAAGATGAGAAATCATTCCAAGGAAAAAAATTGAGCCATTTATTTTTTTTTTCCCCACTCTTTTGCTTCATCCTTTTGTTTTGAAACAGTGCGTACATCTAACTCACCAATCTCTTCATATTCAGGGAAATCTTTTGTTAAATAAACGAAATTGTTGTATTTCAGACAGGTAATTGGGGGGAATGACGAAACTAATAGCAAGGGCTATAAATGAAATATGTCCAACAGTAGGGGGGACACAATATTCCATGAATTTAAAGAAACACAATTGTTTTTGTATGTGAATCGGTTGCATGGTCAAAGACTACAAGTTAGCATGCGTGCAAATCTGTCTAAATCAACCTCCAAGAATTCAATATTCAGTTTATTGGTTGGAATTGATTACAAATCCAGTTTGCCTGAATATTGTTCCTTATTTGTTTCTCCTGATCTAATAATTAATTCCCTTAATGTTAGGTGGCTTGACAATGGCATTGCAATGATTTGTGGACACATGTAAGAAGCTGAAATGATTGCACCCGTTTTGGATTTTGACCTTTTTTTTCCTCCCTTCTTTTTCTAAATCATATGGACTTCTTACCGAACAAAAGTAATTCATTGAGTTTGCTCGCATCGATCAAACTTGTTGGTTGATGTTTATTATATTTCCGCCTTATTCTCCATCTACATCATTGATTTCACTTTATTTAGTAAACCATATGATGCAACTATTCTCAAATGAACTGTCTCTGTTAACCTCTTTGCAATCACTCAAATGGTGTTACTGCCTCGCCTAGGTCTGGGTTACCCAAATTGATTCTTGCACGTATATTCAACCATCTTGGACTATGTGGCCTGTATCAAAGAAAAGTAGTGTGAGGGTTAACACTAATTTATCCTTAAATTTACGTAAACTATCTTCAAGTGAGCCAGATGGATCTCTTAATACAACGTGTCCTTCAAGAAAGGAAAATCGATTTCGTTTTAGAAAATAAGAGTAAGATAAATAGACCGATGTTCTAGAGATTTCAGGTGCAAAAATAGATCGGTCATAAAGTATGACTAAGTAGGCTTCTTTTTTTAATCAATTTGATGGACCAAATTGATACATACATACATACATATATATATATATATATATATATATATTGCTATTTTCAATTTGAGGAACCAAATTAAGATGGTTTGCTACTTTGGAGAACCGCATCCAAATTTCCGAGTAGCTTAGTAGAATTTTTTTTCCTTAATAATGAATTTTGACATATTTAATCATGGCCATTAATTAATCCTTCCCTAATGCCACCAGAGCAGCCGGCCATAGGTAGGCCTGTCAGTCGGCCTTAATGAGTCGGACTTTCATAAACTCAAATTCAACTCATTTAATTTGGTATATTTTCGGATTTCGGGCTATGAGTTTCGATTTTATAAATGTGAAACTCATACTCAACTCACATAATATTCAGGTTGTGAGCCTTAATCGGGTTTAGTCCAAACTCACTTATTACTCCTTAATTTTCTTAATATAATTACTATAACTATTAAGTTGTAAAACTAATTTAACATTTACAAGACTATAATATTAAAACTAAAAATGAACAAATAATAGTTCTTAAAAAGTATATAAATCAAAACTTTTTCAACAGTATTTATATTTAATTCGTTCAAAATGCATGAAAAATAGTAATAAAACATGCGATTATAAGCCAATACATCTTTAAAGTAGAAACTTTTTTTATAATCTTGTGATTTGACTCCAAACATGCTTGAAAATTTGTATTTGTAGATAAAAAAGAAATCAATCAATATTATGCCAACACAAAAATTTATTCAAACAATAAGAAAAGTTAGAAATTCAGTTATGCATCACTAATATTGGCTCTCAAGAAAGCTCATGAAAGAGTCTTTAGATATATTTTTATATTTTGTAATATATATATATAGTATTTAATAATAATATATTTGGATATATAATTATACATAATATCAAAATATAAATATTATATATATAAATAATTAAACCTAACAGAGTTCAAGCTCGCATCATATTTAATTCGGACTTGATTTTTAGGTTCAATCTCAGATCGACTCACTAAAATATTGGGTTCATCGGACTTTTTATAGGGCCAAACGACCCGAACTCGTGTTAGCCCAGCCCCATTGACACCTAGCTATAAAATGCCATATTCCTAAAGCAGTATTCACTTGCTAAAAAAAGTCAACTCTGCTCCGTTGTACTCTTTCCACTTCCACTGTGTCTGTGTTTTTTGGTCTGAAAATGGCAGCGGCTGCAGCAGCAGAAGTGAAAGTGCCAAGAATCAAGCTGGGCTCGCAAGGTCTTGAAGTTTCAGCTCAAGGACTGGGCTGCATGGGCATGTCAGGCTCCTACGGGCCGCCGAAGCCCGAGCCTGATATGATCAAACTCATCCACCCATGCTATTAGCAGAGGTATCACCCATCTTGATACCTCCGATCTCTATGGACCTCACACCAACGAAATACTCATTGGCAAGGTACCATATTTGCAAATTTTCTGCTGTTGTGATCTATGCAGGAACTCTTGTACTTTTAATTTCTAAAAGAGCATATTTGTAAATATTTTATTTAGGTAAATTATACTTAATCCCCTGCACCTCAAAATTTGTCTCCCTATGTGCCCCCTTAATTTTGTTTGTCAGCACTTAAACTCCATTTGTTTAAATTGTAAGTATTATTAGTCAAATATGACATTGTTCTTCCTTTTTTCTTCTTCAACTTTTCATGTTACTGCCTTTTCAGTTTGTCCTCCTTTATAGACATGGGATGAATTACTTTGATTTTGATTTTGGTGCAATTTTGTATAAAATGATTTTTGCTATGAAGTTATTGATTTATTATGAGCTATGTGTTGTATATTTACAAAATTCTGCTAGTTAAACATTCACTTGAGCAAGCCTTCCAAACATGAGCAATATAATTCTCTATGGGTGCATTTGGTAAATTTGAAGTCTAGAAATTGAAATCTAATCTAAAGTCTGAATCTATAAAGTTATTAAATTGTTAAGTACTAAATTTGATACGTTTGAGTGTATGTCACATCAAGTGAAATGAATAACTCATAACTTATTTTTTGAAGCAAGTTTTGCTTAAGAAATTTAATGTCATTTAATTAATTCAGATATTCAATTTTTGGTTATCAAACGTGTCTAAATATGTTAAGATCTGAATTTATTAATTTTAAGTGTTAAATTAGGTTATCAAACATGACCTATAATTATTAAGTAACCAAGCAGACAACATGTTTAGTGTATAATAGTAATTAGCTTTCAATTTGTCTTGTTATTCTTTGGTAAAGAACTCTTTGAATTAATAATAATAATTTTCTCATACACGGGAATCAAAATAATTGAAGTGTTATCTCTACAATTGAGATATGTCACCTTCTAAAAGAAAGGAAAGGGAAGGAAACATGGGGGGAAAATAGGGAAAGGGCAAAGTGATGATAAAGAAAATTGGAAGTAGCAAAATGACACAAGTGAATTATTGCAAGGGGTTAAGTGTAAATTATGTTTATTTTATTAGTCTATTTAACCAGAAAGATTGGGCTCTTGTAAGGCACCAATCAAAAGTTCCAATTGCTGGAAATAACATAAAAACTTAGACTTTGTTTGGTTTGGCATTTTTGGAGGTGGTTCATGAAAATTTTATTGTAGTTTTTTTTTTCTTGTTGAAAAAATATACTTGTAAGAGGAAAAAAAATGGTTGAAAAAAAATTGAGAGTTTTTTTTAATAAATTGTTTTCTAAATAGCTCAGTCACCCAAAATTTTCAGTATTCTGACAATGGCATCCATGTGGTGTCAATTGTCAAACTTGCAACAAAGTTGAGAAAAGAAGGTCGTAGGTCTAGCTCTTTTTTAATACGTTGAATAGCTCTATCCCATTAGAAGGATTTAGAACTCTTCTACCATCTCTTTATTTTCTTTTTTTTTTTCCCTTCAAAATTCTACATCATAATGGAGTTGGTAAAATAGTACTATTTTCGTCTTTGATGTTAAAATTTTCATCAATTTATGGAAAGTTTACTATTTCTCTAACAAGAGTTAGTAAAATTTACTTTTTATGAGCAGTAAAGTTTTAAAGATTATGAAAAAAGAATTGTATGAAGGAACAAAGGGGAAAAGAAAGGTAAGAAAATGGATGGATTGTATTTGGATTGATTTTGAGAGGGGAAAGGAGAGGAAAACGGAA